TATTAAAATAGTTCATTAAACTACCTAAAGGAGCATAGCTCAGAAATCCTGTTGATGATGTGATTCAGAAGCTTTGAAAAACATTTTCCCAGCTACAGTGAAGTCCCAGCAGATCATTGTTACCCCTGCAGTGCACCAGCAGTGCAGAGCTGTTGGTTCTCATGGCTCTGCTCTGTCTCCACAGCTGTCCCTGGTCAGAGGAGCACTGCCCATGTTCGAGCTGGTGGAACGCCAGCCCTCACACTTCTCCAACCCCGACGTCCTGAATCTCACACCAGGTGAGGCCACACAGGGAGGGAGAGCTGAGGGTGAGCCCGTCCCTTTGGCTTTCTGGAAATCATGAGGAATTACATGATGGCTGGAGTTCTTGGGTCAATTGATGTAGTTCTTCAGCTTTCAGATACTGGTTTGCAGATCCCACAGTGTCTCAGGATGATTTTTAGAATAATCTGTGAGTGGTGATGGTGACTGAGCAGAACAAACAAGCTCACAGGCTGTCATGGCAGTGAGACTCTGTGGTTTCTGAAGGGATCCTTGGAGGAATCAAAAGGGTGAGAACCGAGTTTGTAGGTAATGAAAATGTTCCAAGACAGGGCTGCTCACACTTAGTTCCAGCATAAGGCACTCCTTCTTGGCATGTACCATTACCAGTGGAAAAAAGGACAAGTGCTGGGCCCTAACCTTGCCTGTCAGGCTTATCACATAAAAGACATGAGCAAACATTGCAGGAGATAGAGCCATTGGCTGCTTGTGCCAAGAATAATGAGTGTGTATGGGCAAGCCTATCCTGTCACCAGACATGGGGAGGCCTCCTGGCAATCTGTACCCTGCACTTCTGGTCTCTCTCTCTCCCTGCTGCCCTTCCTTAAAAACTTTCATTATCACACTGTCCTTTGCTGTTAAGCATGCTCAATTCCCTTGAACTGTCAATTGATCCTTGCCTGTCTTAAATTGTCCCTAATGTAGTCTTTCCTACTCTTAAAAATGTTTTTGTAATGGACTACTTGTCCTTCTCCCTCTTCCCTGGCTTGTAGAGCCTCTCCCAGCTGCCAAGGCCATTCATTTCTGTTGGTCCTGTTTCTCACTAGAAGGAGTAATTGAACTTTGAGCCCCTTTCAGGGCCTAAAGGGGTTCCAAGAAAGCTGGAGAGGGCACAGTGACAGGACAAGTGGGAATGACTTCCCACTGCCAGAGGGCAGGCTTAGATGGGATATTGGGAAGGAATTCTTCCCTGTGAGGGAGGTGAGGCCCTGGCACAGGTTGCTCAGAGAAGCTGTGTCAGCCCCATCCCTAGAAGTGTCCCAAGGCCAGGTTGAACAGGGCTTGGAGCAATCTGGGATAGTGGAAGTTGTCCCTGCCCATGGCAGGGGGCAGGACTGGATGATCTTTAAGGTCCTCTCCAGCCCAAACCATTCTGGGATTCTGTAACTGTCCAGCCTGAACTAGTAAAGGTTCCTCCTTCCCCCTGTGCTATAGTTACTTCCTTCCCCTTTAAGCGTGAGCTCCCTCTTCACCACATAGTTGGAAGGATGGAGAGGTGGGATCAACTAACATTAGTTTTCCTCACAAAGTGAACTGTACTAATTGCTTTTAGGAGAGTGCATGTTGTAATTACATTTCCTAAATTTTATACCAAAACCAACTATAGCAGAAACTATTCTCTAACACATAGGGATAAAAGTATCTCTTAACTGGGAGAGAAATCTTCACTGGTATTGGTCCAGACCTGGGCAAGTTCTCCTGTTTTGAGCCTCTTGAGGCAGAACAGTGTCCTGCTAATGCAGAACTGGGGCACAGGAAGGTTGTACAAAACAGAAATGTGTTTGGATCTGTAAAAGATGATGTGCTTCTGTACTCCATGTAATTCTCTCCAAGGCATTTTCCACACCACTGACATGTTCTTATCCTCTTCAGAGCCCTCATTTGGGTTTGTCACTGAGTTTTAGAACTTGTAGGCACTTGGCGTTCAAATTGTGACACCCTCCAGCTGCTGGTCTCAGTCACAGCGTCCCACTGAGGCAGCGCTTTCTTCTTCTCTTCCAGACTCCTCTGATGCCGACAGATTGGAAAGGTTCTTTGACTCGGAAGATGAAGACTTTGAAATCCTGTCCCTTTGAAAACAAATAGGAAACTGACTCTGCAAATTTGTGTATGTGTGGGGAGAAGGGGGGAGGGAAGCTCCTTCGAGAGCCTGGGGCTACCGGTTTTCATAGGCGCTTGCTGCCATCCCCGCCTCCCGTCCATCCTGGCATTCCGTGCAGCCCCGGAGCGGAGCGCGCAGTGTCTGCAGTGGGATGAAGAACCCAGAGGGTGTTACAGCCTTACTGGCTGCAGTTGGAATTGCTCAGCAGCAAACAGCTGCTGGAAATGGATGCAGTGGTGCTTAGGAGCTCAAAGCCTATCTGTTACATCAGCAGGTCAGCTGGGCCTTCCGGGGGAGGCACGGAAATCGTTAGAGCGCTGAATCTTTCCATGGGGACTCCCCTCTGAAGCTTAAGTAGAGCCCACCCGTCATTTAGCAGGAGAAAGTCCAGTTAATGCCTTTAGCAGCTTCCCTTCTCACTGGCCAGCCTGGACTGCAGCTCACAAAGCCAGGGAACAGCAGCCACGTCCCCACAGACAGCTGTGAAGCCTCCGGAGTGCAGGTCCCTACGGTACAACTCCTGTTCATGCTCTGCAGGACACTCAGCACTACCTCTTCTCTCCACAACCTATAGAAAGGGAGTTGAGGGAATTTCTAAGTGACTGGGATTTCAATAAGTGAAGTGTGGAGCAGTGGTGTGCTTCTGGGGAGCATCTCAATGCCAGTTTAAATAACAGAAGGAATGGAAGAGTAGAAAATGTGTGTGTTGCTCAGTGAGTTGATCCATGTGCTTCTACCATGGAATAGTCTCTACTGCAAGTACCTTCAGGAAAGCTGCTTTGAACAGAAAACTGAATTCCACAGCCCTGGAAAAAAAAAAGAGTCCAGAGCTGAGAGAGCTGAAACGAGGCAGCAGAGATCTGCCAGGCATGTTCCAGGCTTGTGCCTGTCCACCAGTGTGCTGGCATAGTGACTAGGGATTGATGTGCTGCCAAAAACCCAAGCTGTAAAACCTCTTGAGGTGTCCTGGATGGGTTAGTCAGTGCTTCCTCCAGCTCCTCCTGTCAGACATTCCCTTTCCAAAGCAGAAGAGGTGCCTGAAGGTCAAGTAGGTTTCTGAGCTGTGTTGGTACCTTGCCTCTGCTAGCTCTCCTCCCTGTGGAGTGAGCCCAGAGGTGCTGTAGGAGCTAATCTGGAGAAACCCCTGTCAGGTGACCATCTCAAGAAGGGCAGAGTGCCTTGAGAAGGTCCAACTATACTGCAAATTTTAGCTAATTTAAGCTGGTAGCTCTGCCTGGGGCCTTTCTTCAAAGAGAAAGGTAAACCGTGGAGGAGAGCTGTCTCCACGCACACTGCTAGGGAAGTGCTGCCATGGTTTCCTTGGTGTGTGCTGCACACTCCAGCCCTGTTTACAAGGCCTTGGTTTGTGCATTCAGGTTTGGAACCTGTCAGATGATGGTGGTGTCCCCAGGGGTGGTGCCACCAGGCTAGCAATGACCTGTTTCCCCTGTGACTGACCTACTGATGCTCTTAACTATCCCTGTGATACCCGAAAGCAGAGGCTTGAACTGGGAACCACAATGCTTCTGTCACTAAATTATTATTTGCTGCTTTTTGCCTGCTTCTCCTCTTCTCTGTTGTAGTCAGGGGAAGAGGCAGCAGAGGAAGTGGGGCTGTGCTCCATTCATCTGCTTTCAATTTCTATCTGAATAAACAGATCTAAAATCTTTGCCTGTCCTGATGTCCTTGCACATGTTGAAGGCACTGGTGGGTATTATGCAGTGTATTATCCAGTGCGTAGAGGGGCTCCAGGGGAACTGGAGAAGGACTTTGGACAAGGACCTGGAGGGACTGGATGAGGATGAATGGCTTCCCACTGCCAGAGGACAGGGTTATATGGGATACTGGGAAGAAATTCTTAAGAGCAGATGACCTTGGCACAGGTTGCCCAGAGCAGCTGTGGCTGCCCCATCCCTGAAGTGTCCAAGGCCAGGCTGGACAGGGCATGCAGCACCCTGGTCTAGTGGAAGGTATCCCTGACCATGGAAAATGATCTTTAAGATTCCTTTCCAACCCAAATCAGTCTGTGATTCTATTATTTATTTCACGTTCATGGTTTTACGTTTAAGGACAGCTCTGCCAGACAAGATTTTACCTGAGTGTTAACACAACCCCAATAACAGAGCTAAGATCAGCTGTCTTAGATCTCTAACAGGCATTTCTGGCTTTTCAGTGTGTTGCCTTGTCCCAGTGCTACTGTCAGGGCCTGATGCAGCATTGCAGGGGCTCACCTCCTTCACCAGGAGCATCTGGCTGCCAAGTGCTGGGCAGCTGTGGAGGGAAGCTTTTGCCATTGTAGCTGATGCTTGTATTAGCAATGTTGTTTTAAATATTTAGCTTCCTCTCCCTGCTTCTGAATCAGCTCAACCTGCCTCTTTCCGAGTTAGAGAGGATTTAGTGGAGATCAGAGCAGTCTACCCTACTGGAAGGTGAGTCAAACATGCAGCAAAGAAACCTGAACTCCCCTGGCTATGCCCATCTCTCAGTGTCCCTTGCAAATGATTAACATTCCAGATTGTTCTGGTAATTAGGTGATTCATAGCTGGTCTGGTTTCAAACTGCACTGGGGTGTGTGCAGAAGCCACAAGTGACTATTCCTCTTATCTTGGCCAGTCTAAAATAATTTATGTGCTACTTGTCCTCCAAACTGGCCTTGCTATGAGCTCATCCATCTATTTCAGGTTCTTACCTGCTCACAGCTGAGGAGAAGGCTTGAATTCACCTCTCCCTTTTCTTCCACAGCTCTAGCAAACAGTTTTCCTAGGATTTAGTGCCTGAACTGCAGCACTTCCACCTCCAATATATCCTTCTAGAAGATAAATTATCATACTGAAAAAAAAAAATGCCCTGTGCCAAATGCTTCAAAGAGCACTTTATTAGCAAATCCTCTACAAACTGGTTTGAGCATGTGGGGGCAGATGCATTTTCTAGAGAGGAAGAATGATCAGAAACGTGGCAGTTCCCTAAAAATGGGAACTGTCTGTTTCCAGGGATGGCCCTGGGCTCCACACTCACATCTGCACTCCAGGAGCTGGAACAGGAGCTTGGGGGAAGGAGGTTTTGACAAGGAATCTGATAAACACTCATGGCATACTCGTTTAAAAAATGCAGAAGGGACTCTGCAGGCTGGAAGGGAGGAGTAGATAATAAAAAGGACATCAGCAGCATGTTGGACCCAAAAGAATACACAGGATCTAAGCTGTAGCTGCTGGGATGTCACAGTCACCCAAGTGCAGAAGATCCAAGAAGTGACCAGAAGTTTCATTTCCAGAGTTCTCCCAAAGGTTTATTCTGAACCTCCTCCATAGTTTCCTTTGCAATGGACTTGATTTCTCTGTGCAAGTCTTCAATGCTCTTTGAAGCATCCACTGTCTGTTTCCAAGACAACAAAAATATAGGACAGATAACAGAGAATACAGAAATGAGAAAAACCTTGTTGTTAACAGCTGCTTACCCCCCATTACTCAGTATGTTATTCTTCCTGAGTAGTGAAATGAGTTAATTACACCTCTCTGCAGTTTCTAGAGTGGATCTGGGAGAAATCAAAATATGTAGGAATAGACATTTAAGAAGTAGATGTGAGAGTGGGTGAAGGTACACAGAAGAAACTGCTGCTACATGTTGTTTGCTGGCAGACTCTGGGGTGTGTGACAGAGGCAGGTAAGCTAGGGATTCATCCCAGGTGCACAAAGAGCTGACCAGGGTCTCCTGGAACAGGGAAATGTCCTCTCTGCCACTTCTCACAGTGCCCTTGGCTGGTCCCAACGTGTCCCACTGAGCAGAAGTGGAAAGGGGCAGCACAGAGATGTGACAGGCAAAATTTGGGAGCTCTCACTAGAGCCCCCCACCCCAGTGTCTGACAAGTCCATTGGAGTTAATTCCTCACCTTCCAGTTCAGGCTCTTGTCCTCCATTAGGCAGTAGAAGGACTGAAGAACTTTCTCTTGGAAGGAGCTGGTCTCATAACGTTCATGTCCAAAGTCGCCTCGTTCTGCTGCTGCTTCTGGGTTTAACTGGAGGAACAGGATCAGGTCTGGCTTTGGGAGTCCAACATCAGGCTGTTTGCACCACTCCAGGCCGAAGTTCTGCCCCAAGCAAACACAGGAGAGTTTGAGGTGACACACAAAGACAGGAAGGCAGCAGGTTGGCTGGAGAGTGAGGTGGGATAGGAACAGCCAAGGATGGCAGGAATTGCAACCCAAAACACTCAGCACAGGCTACAAACTGAACAGGTGATAGCCCAGCTTACCAAGTGGGAATTCAGTCCTGCTCCTTTGGGGGTGAGCAGGTTTTGTCAGGTGTTCAGCACCACCTGTGCTTATTTAAGTTGGAGAGAGAGAAAGCTTTTCATGCCTCTTCTGCAGATCCCATCTGAGCTCTACCAAGGCACATTCTGAGCCTCCACACTGCCATTACCACTCCAATGCTTGCTCAGTCCAAAAGAAAGCTGTTCCCAAACACAAACACCACACAGCTGCAATGGACATCTCCCTGAGCCCACGTAGGCTCCTTTCCAATACTCACCTACCCAGGAATTTCAGCCCAGACACAACAGATGCAGTGTTCCAGCTTTTGGATTTTGCTGACAGGTCTGAAGACTTTCACCAGGCCATGTGAATCCATGATGTTGGTTGAGACTAAAGTCCACTTACTGCTCATCCACATCTTAAATCCCTCTAAGAGGAGCTGGCACATCTGCCCTCCAGTTTCTCCCCAGATGTTCTGTTTCTTGGTAATCTGGGTATTTTTGAGATGTATGTGCAGTGCGTTTTGCAATCCCATGAGGGGGTAAGAGAAGCTGGAAGTGCCACAACATCTTGGGTGTGAGCTCTGGCAGCCAGCAGACTTTTGTGTTAGGTATGGGCATCAACATCTCCCCTTCTTCTGGGAATGCTTCTTGAGTGAAAAACATGCCAAACTCCATTCTTTTAGGAAGCAGAGGAGGTCCCTTCCAGCAGAAGAGGATGCCATCCCTGCTTCCCAAGGGTAGCATCCACATGGGCTGAGCCCTGCAGGTCACCAGCTACATTCAAAGAAATGTGGACACTTTAAGAGACCCTTCTTCCCCCACCAGAAAGTAGCAGAACATTCCTTGCTGTGCCCATGTGGATTTGGGATCATTATTTTGGGGTGACTCTGCTCATGTTACACATCCTGGCTCTTAATTTGGGGCTTTTGCAGACACCTGATTAGCACCTAAATGTCTTAATGCATCTGTCTCAAGCTACACAATGTCCAGGAAAGCAGGAGGGTGGGAGAAGATGCAGGTGAGGGTGCAGGGCTTGGGGGCCCAGGATCTCCTCAGTCCTCCCAGGAAGCAGGGAAAGGCTTGGGCAGGAATGAATGCAGGTCACAGCTGGTGCTGCAGCATGGCTGGAGCTTCTGTGGCCACTCTTAAAGGACTGATGGCTGCTCAGCAGGAACAGGACACTTGTGATGGAGCGGGACAGGAGTGTCTGTGCAGAATGGCTCCTGGGGAGGCTGACAGAACTGACTTGCTCTGAAAGCAGGGACAGGCCAAAAGGCACAAGTGGGAATGCCAGAAATCCAGGCTAAATGAAGAGAATCACTTTTACTCTGAAGGTGAGCAGAGAAGAACCCAGAAAGGAATGAATATACATCCCTGAAGATACTCTAACCTTGGCTGGATATAAGCAAGTCTGCTTATGTCGGAAGCTGAACTCCACAGGTCTCTTCTAATATATGTGGTTCTGTTCCACAAATTGATGGGCCAGCAGCCTGAGCAAGTACAGGGAGTCTTTAATAAACTCCCAGAATCATTCTCCAGAGTCACACAGGTCAGCTTCCAGTCCAGCAGTCTGCCCAGATTTACAAAAAGTCACCAAGTAAGTTTCTCTGCTTGTTCTGGGAAGGGTAGACCCATGTTAATATCTGAGCTGAAACTTCCATCCCTCATGTCCCAGAAGGATGGCCCCTGGGCCATTCACACCAACAGCCTGGAGCTGCATCCCCAAACAGAGAGAGGGGCAGGGGCTGCTCCAGTCTCACTCACCCCTTTGGCACTTGTGAAGGCCACTCCAGAAAAGGCGTATCTGTCAACCACCACCGTGATCCCCTGGTGCAGCTTCTCCTTCATCATCGGTCTGAAACCATGGGGGAGATAAAACAACAAAGCTGCACTCCTTTCTGGTGACCGAAATGAAAGGAGCTCATCTAAAACTCCAAGTATGTCATCATTAAGGGAGGTCAGCTGTGATGCAGATGGCAGGCGAAGAGCTGTTTGAATTCTCCAGCAGGCACTGACCAAATACCCTTTCATGACACCCAAACTCAGGGTGCCAGCACTGGGCACTGCTCTAGGCAGCTCCAGAGCTTCCAGGCAAGATCACAGATGAGCTATATTAACATGGACAGCTTAGTCCTCTTCCCTTTTTAGGTGGTACAGCAGATTTTGTGATATGGTCTGCCACATTTATTCATGACACTACATCTTAGAGCTCACTTCTGTGCCTTCTGCTCTCCCAGCTTAATTGGCACTGCCATACAGCAGAACCAGCAAAGCTTTTCTGTAACATGAGAACATTTTGGAATCTGTATTTTCAGGTAAAAACAACAGCCAACACTGATTTCCCCACGTCCACACACAGACTCTGTGACTAAAGCAAGGACAGGCAGTAATGGCTACAGAGGAAATTTGGGCACAATTCCTTAAGCGCTGTCACTCACAGGGACTGCCTGGTGAAGCAAGGCATCTTCAGGAAAGAGAGAAAATTCACAGTCCGAACTGGTTCAGTCTCAGCTGCCCAATTTTTTAATCCAGTACAGCACAGGAGCACATGGCATTAATGATTCCAAAAAAAAAAACCCTAAACTGTAGGATCTGATCGAAGATTACAAGGGCAGGGTTAGATGGGATACTGGGAAGAAATTCTTCCCTGTGAAGGTGGGGAGGCCCTGGCACAGGGTGCCCAGAGAAGCTGTGGCTGTCCCTGGATCCCTGGAAGTGTCCCAGGCCAGGCTGGACAGGGCTTGGAGCAGCCTGGGACAGTGGGAGGTGTCCCTGTCCTTGGCAAGGGGTGGCACTGGCTGGGCTTTATGGTCCCTCCCAACCCAAACCATTCTGGGATTCTGTGATTAAATCCAAAGCTGTAAGAGTCCTTATGACACCATTTCCTGTCTAAACAGGATCACAATCTTGTTCTTTGTGTACCCATTGCAAACTCAAACCCCGTGGGATCCAACACCACCCATTTTTCTCTCACAACTGAACAAACATCATCTTTACACGTGCTCCCAGCGGTTGGCAGAGAAGAGCAGGTGAATGGTGTGGTCCTCCAGGTTCTTCTCCCTGCCCAGGTAGGAGCTGATCAGCTGCCCAATCTCTGTGCTTCTGTCTGCAGGAAAGACAGGAGAGGCACAGGCTGCCCCAGATGGCTCTTCCCAGATGGGTGTCCATCCCTCTGGGCTCTGTCTGTCATTGAAGGGACCAGGTCAGTCCATCCAGGCTGGGAGTCTGTCTGTCTGTCCGTCAGCGGTGGCAGGAGCTCTGTCCAGGGTGAGGGGGAATATTTATTTATATATATAGGAGGTCAGTCCATACGGGGCTGGATCTCCCTGCCTGTGACAGGCCGGGGGAAGGAGCTCGCTCCATGCAGGATGAGCGTCTGTCTGTCCGTCTGTCCGTCCAGGAGGGAGGAGTCTATCCGCCCGCTCTGTCCGGGCGCGGGGGGGGGGGGGGGGTCCATCTGTCCGGTGGGAGGCGATCGGTCCGTCCAGGGTGGGAGAGGTCTGTCGGTCAGGGCTGGGGCGGTCCCTCCTTTCAAACGCGGGGCCCGCCCAGAGCTGCGAGTGCTTCCCGCCCCCTCCCTCCCTCCGTCCCTCGGCGGGCTGACCCCGTTGCGGCGTACCCGGGAAGCGGAGGAGGTCGGCGCGGTGCCCGGCGTCCCTGAGGGCCTGCACGAGCCGCCGGCCCTGCGTGCTCTTGCCGGCCCGGTCCACTCCCTCCAGCGCGATCAGCGCCCCGCGCCGCGCCGCCATGCCCGCGCCGCCCCTTCCCTTCCGCCGCGCCGCCCCGCCCCTTCCGCCGCGCCCGCCAATCGCCGCCCGCCCCGCCCCTCATGAATATGCAGCAGAGCGGCGGTGGCGGGCCAATGGGCGGCGCGCGGCCGTGCATACGGGATGAGGCCGCGGGCCTTGTCATGCGGGCCCGGCGGGCGGCGGGCAGCGGCGCGCGGGCCGCAAGATGGCGACTGCCATGTACCTGGAGCACTACCTGGACAGTGAGCGCGGGGCGGCGGCGGCCGAGGGGCCGGGACGGGGAACGGGGCGGGAGCGGCGGGATTGGGGCGGCGGCGGCGGCGGCGGCAGCGCGGGAATTAAAACTGCGCCACGGGGAGAGCGGAGAGGTGGGGGGGGCGGCACGGTGCTTGCGTCATCAGCCGGCGCCGGGTGACGTCAGCGGTGCGCGCTGGGGAGTGGGACCGTGAGGGCATGGCGGCGGTGGCGGGGGTCCCGCGGGTCCCGCCGCCCCTCGGCCGGGCCGCTGGTGCCGCCTCAGTGCCCAGCCCCAAAACCAGCTCAGGGCCGGCTGAGCCGAACGGGCGGCTGGCGGTACGTGGCTCGCAGGCTGGATTTGGTTGGGAAGGACCTTAGAACTCATCTCGTTCCGGCCCCTGCCATGGACACGGACACCCGCCATTGATAAGGTTGCTCAGAGAATTTAGTGGCGTTTTTATTGTAGGTATTGAGAATCTGCCGTGCGAGCTGCAGAGGAACTTCCAGCTGATGCGGGAGCTGGATCAGAGAACAGAAGGTAGGTGCAGGTGTTTGGGCAAGCAAAGGCCGGGAGAGCCCAGGGGAGGCTGGGCTTCAGAGGACGTGGCTGTTCCTCTCTCAGGCTGAGCGCTCTGCAGTGGTTGTCTCTTTCCTGTGAGGACACAGCTCACATGGCAGGGCTTGGTTTTGTTTCCAGTTTAAATTTGTAGCTCTGTGATCACTTTACTCAGTGGCCATTTGGATGGCTTTCCTTCCATGTGTTTCCGTATCTAATAAATTCTAAATTCCTGTGTGCCTTGCAGGACGATTTTTTCTTCCTTTTTGAAGTTTTTTTGGTATCTGGGTGCACATTAATTATTCTAATTTTGAACCATCAGAGCAGTAAGTGATGGCCCAGCTAGTAAAATGCTCTGTATGTGGGAAGAGAGGCTGAAACTTGTGAAGCCATGGGTTCTGTTTCTGATCTTAACTGTGAATTAACTGTAAATTAACTTCTGAATTAGCTGTAGGACATTTGAGAAAAAACACTCACACCACAAATGTCAAAGAGTGGACACCTTTAACTTAACTGGTTTTGTTTTTAAAAAGGAAAATGCATTAAGGAATTGAGGGCAGCATAACAGCTGTCAGGAAGGGTGTCTTAAGTGGAAACAGAAAACCAAAAATACCTGCTTTTTGTTTTTTTCTTCTTTTTTCCAGACAAGAAAGCAGAGATTGACAGCCTGGCAGCAGCCTACATCGAGTCTGTGAAGAACATGTTACCTGAGGAGAGAGTGGAGCACCTGAGGAAGATCCAGAGTGCCTACAGCAAGTGTAAGGAGTACAGTGATGACAAAGTGCAGCTGGCCATGCAGACCTATGAGATGGTGAGCCATGGAAAAATGGGAATCCTCTGCAGTGGTGCATGTGGGGATGCTTCACAGTGTCAGCTTTCCCTCACTTCTTTTTCTTTCTGATTTAAATTTCTCACCAAAACAAATTATTCGTTCTCAATCCTATGTTTCTCTCTGTTGCCATCCCCAAAAAGCTTTCTCCTTTGGCACCAGGTTTCTCTTTTGCTCAAGAATTAGTGAGTTTACATCCCTTGGAGGTGGCTTTATCAGCAGTAATTGTCTGCCATGTGATAATGCCAGCAAATTTACCCCACTCCCTCCTCCCCAGCAGCTCTGTGTCACTGATAATTTATTTGGGGCACACTTAGTTGAAAACAAATTGTTTTTTCTAAGCCAGATGCTGTACTGTGTTGTGGAGGAACAGCAGGAATTCTGCTCAGTTGCCTTGCTTTATTTGACATCAAAATTTCCTCAATGGACCTTGAGAGAAAACCCATTTCTTAAGATGCAGCTTTCCACTTTTTTTTTCCTTCTGTCCCTTGAGTAATTCTTATCTGCACATGTTTTACCCCCTGGATGAAAGTTGAGTGAGGGGAATTCTTTTGACTGTACTGTTTGTTGTCCAGCTTGCAGAGATGCCTGGGGTTTTGCTACAGCTGCAGTAGGTGTTTGGTTGCCATCAAATACTTCAAAAAAGGAAATTATGTCCCAGGAATATCAAGGCCTTAGATAACTAGTGGACTCATTTAATGACAAACTATTGCAGCAGCACAGTTTGGGGGTGGTGGCTTGAAAACCTTTTTCTGAAAGTCACTTTATTGCAGCCAGGGTAGTACAAGATAATTAATATTGATATTGAGGATAGTCAGCCTGTGTCTGTATTTATTGTTAAACTTGGATCCACATGACAGTGGAGTACCAGGGCAAACCCCCAACTGCTCTGCTCAGCGCATTCAAGGATTGTCTCTGGATTCTGAAAATCGCACAGACAAACCCAGTATTTTTAGTATCTCTCGTCTTGTTTTGTTCTGAAAATCATTAGTCTGAGTTGCTCTGACTCTGTTTCCTCTCTTTTCCTTCCTTTCTGCTTGCTTGTGGAGGGACGGGGTCCCTGTGCCTTTGCCTCCCTCATTCCCTCTCCCTGTGCCATTTCCCTTTTCCCAGCCCCTTCCGTGCCTCGCTCTGCACCACCACATTCTGTTCCTGCTGATAACAGCCAAGTTTTAGCCCTTCCTGTTTTCATCTGGGGCTCTTTTTTTTGGGTGTTTCTTTGTAGTTCAGTTTGTGGTTTCCTCTTGGTGCAGGTGGATAAGCACATCCGCCGGCTGGACGCGGACTTGGCGCGGTTTGAAGCTGATCTCAAAGATAAACTGGAAGGCAGTGACTTTGAAACCCCTGGATCCCGAAGCCTGAAAAGTGGGTGAATTGTACACAACTGGGAGCCTTTTCCAGCACTTAGAGTATCAAAGCAGGAGGGCTGAGATGTAAAATAGGCTGATCTTTCTGGAGGAAGGAAAGAAGTGTGTTGTTCTCTGCTTGTTTTTAATGCTCTTCAAAATGCTTACAGTGGCAAGAGATGTGCTGCTGGGATCAAACTTACTGTCTCTGCTTCATCCTGAGGTTGTTGCTGGTTTTAAGGAGGGTGCTGTGTCAAAACTGCACTGGCATAACAGTCTTAGTTTCAGGAGAAATTAGGAATTAAAAGAAGATGCTATTTTCTGTCATGTATACTGAAACATTGTGTGACTACAGTGACATTTGAATGTGAATACAGCAGCACAGCACAGCTTTATGACTTTGAACAATGAAATAAGGGGTAGGAGCAAGGAGGTGGAGAAAAAAGTTATGTTAGTTATTGAGTAATCTATTAACTGTGTTTAAAAGTACACTGAGGTGAAAAAAATTACTGCGTGTCTAATCAAGTGTGATGCTGTTTATGAACTGTGCTGTCATACTGCAGTGCTTTATTGCCAAAACTACAAACACAGGTTTGGTGCTCAGTTGTTATTTAATTTGCTGTATTTGTGGCTTAAAAATGCATTTCGGTCAGCATATTCAACTACATATATAATAAGGATTACTCAATTACTTATGAAATAGGGATTTCAAGACAGTAACTGCATCAAAAGAACACCAGCTGGGGATGTTTCTGCAGCTCAGGCTGAAATGATGGGGTTGTTTTTCCTTTCTAGAGGGACGAAGTCAGAAAGACAAAAGAAGTTCTCGTGGTCGAGGCAGGAGAACATCTGAAGAAGATACACCAAAGAAAAAGAAGCTCAAAGGAGGGTAAGGCAGAGCCAGGCACAACTCCAGGGCCTTGGGCTTGACACTTCTTGAATTTTCCACAGGCTCATATTACCATATTTATGACTCATGTCCAGATGGTGAGCAGTGTTAAGAGTGTTCTGGTCTTACTCCATTTCATTAATGTCCTGCTTGGGACAGGCCAGCATTGTTAATTAACTCCTTGGTTGGCATGTGGAAGCTCAGCATGCTTGGAACATTTTGACTGGAAGGACAAGATCAGCCTCCCTGTTGCTGTTGGCAAGCTGGAGAAGATGGCTTTGATTTTTGTCACAGGGCTATTTTTAACAGTTGCTTGTGGTCATGATGGTAAAAGAAATTCACTTGGCCATCAGGACAGAAGCTGATGTTTTGCTGCTGATCTCGAAATCTTGGAGAATTTTGGGGAGTTGTTTTCAAAGGATTGTGTCCTGGGTAGCCTTGAGTAGTCTGATTTGGTTTTGAGAGGCAAGGAGGACAGCATGTCCCCTCTCTGAGATGGCATTTATATTAAAGGGGCTCGGTTTATTCTGATATTTTCAGGTGGCTAAATGGAGGGCAGGAAACTAAAAATAGTGTCTGTGGACTGCTACTGGCATGTCAGCACATCCCTGTCAGGGTAAGAGGGTTCACTCATGCCTGACAATGGGAAAAAATCTGTATTGAATCGAATTGGGGAAAAGCCCCAAACAGGTTATTCTACCCACAACCAGGAGTGATCTGTGTGATAATTCTGTTACTTTACTCATGACAGCTCCAAATCCCTCTCTTAATTCTTTCTAGTCATATTGTGTTTGATCCAACCTACCATATGATTTTAATTACTGGATTGTGGTAATGTAATATAGGCTCTAAAACAGCCTCAGTGTGGTTTAGGGAAGATAATGTAAAACACTAATTTTCCAAAGTAAGATTTGGATCTTGGAAACGCCAAATCCCAGAATGGCTTGAGTTTGGAGGGGCCTTAAAGACCATCGCATTCCAGCTCCTGCAGTGGGCAGGGACACCATCCACTAGCCTGGGTTGTTCTATATCTGGCCATGAACGCTTCAGGAATGGGGGAGGCACAGCTTTTCCAGGCAACCTGTTCCAGGGCTTCCCTACTCTCACAGGGCAGAATTTCTTCCCAGTATCCCATCTAACCCTGCTCTGTGGCAGTGGGAAGCCATTCCCTTGTAACACAGTGCTGTCTGCAGTTGAGAAGTGTTTTATCCTGACTCTGTCCTTGCCCACAGGTCTGAGTTTGCTGATACCATCCTGTCAGTGCATCCCTCGGATGTCCTGGACATGCCAGTGGATCCCAACGAGCCCACCTACTGCCTGTGTCACCAGGTGTCCTATGGAGAGATGATTGGCTGTGACAACCCAGATGTAAGCATTTGAGGTGTTTGTTTGTTGCCTCCCAACCCTGTACAGTCCAAGGAGGGGATCCTTGCTCAGTTAGCTCATTCCAAATGATGGGAATATTTCCTCTGTGGGTTTTCCCTTTCTCTTTTGCAGTGCCCAATCGAGTGGTTCCACTTTGCATGTGTGGACCTGACCACCAAACCAAAAGGGAAATGGTGAGTGTGACAGCATTCAGTTTGGGATTTTTATCAGGCTGCAGTTTGCCTCAGCAAGGATTAAAACCCTGTTGTGACCCTGACAGAGGAGCTTGGCTCTTCTCATCAGAGGGTTTGCATCCTCTGTGGTTGGGGATTATTTTGAGGGTAGGAGAGAGGAGACAAACCTTCTTGTTAAAGTCCATTTCCACAGAAGTCTTAGGTACTGATAGAAGCAAAACTGCCTGATAAACAGAGGAGGTTTTGACCTGAGGCTTGTGTAAACTTGGACATTCTACATCTGAGGGTTGCTCTATTGTCACTAGTTGTGACTGTGCTTAGAACAGACACAGCTACCTCTTCCTTTCACTCTGGAGGCAAATTTTGAAGACTTCCCAGGGTTTTACTATGTGCTTATCTTGGAAAGGATCATGGGCTTGTTGTTTTTTATTTAATGGACTGTTTTAATCAAATTAACAAATTGCCTGCCAGAAACAGGCTTAATTGTGCACAAATGTTAAAAACAGCTCTCGAGCTCTGTGCTGTTAATTTTAAGGAGCTCATTACTGCCTCTTTTTTTCCTACAGGTTTTGTCCTCGTTGTGTTCAGGAAAGAAAGAAAAAGAAGTAAGGACTAGAGGGGGATACACCGTCGAGGCAAGAAGAATTTAATATATTCCTTCATTCATGTTGCAATATTACCTTTGAATATTTTTGTTAATCTATCCTCCATCTTTTTCCGGTATGATATTTAATTATCCAGTGGCCAGTTGAAATTCCTGTTTTTTCCTAAGACAATGACTTTGGGAGGGAGTCCCAAATCCCTTTGCCACGGAGATTTTATTTATGCTAGTCTTGCACAATAATACTGAGGGAGGTTGTTGCCTTTTCTGGCTGTTTCCATTTCCCTGAAGATTCTCTTAAGTACATCACTGTGAAGATGAAACCTACAGTATTCTTGGAGAGAGAGAAGGTCGGATTTATTCACCAAATAAGATGAAGGCCTGAATTGTTAGCTGTGATTGCCTGTGTGGCACATGGGTAAATCAGGAAATCAGGTTTTAGGGGAAGGCTCCATGAGGATATTGTTTGTTCCCATGATGGTGTGGCTCTGCTGTTGAAGAAGGCCATCAGGGATGTTGTAACAGAGCTTCTTGTCTTTTTTTAATGGGCCACATTTGCATGTTCTTGACTTCTCTAGCTGCCTTTCAGATAATGAATGTGAATCCTTGCATTAGCACAGTGGCAGTGGCTGCAGCAGAAGAGAGAGAGGAAATCGGGAGCTGGAAAGCAAAAGTTTCTGGTTTTTCCTTCCTCTGAGATACAGAAGTTGAGGGAAGAGCAGAGATAACTCTTGCCTTCATATGCTTCCTGCATCATGAGGCTTACCTACCTTCAGTGAAAATATAGTGGGGAAAGGTGTTCCAGGTTTCCTTCCTGCTGGTGGAAGGAAGAAAACAAAGCCCCAACTCATTAACTTTGCTGGCTCTGGTCCCTGGTGGGTGTTGGTGGCAGCTCTGTGCAGGGCTGTGTGCTGCTTTCCATACCAGTGTGCAGGAGCTCTTGGTACAGACTGCTGGAAAGGAGTCTGGAGTTTATGGAGTTTCCATAAAGAAACTCCCAGATAAACTTTTCTTCTGCTGAAAAAACAGCACAGAAGGTTAAAAACACTTCTACTCAGATTCTGGCACCTGTTTTCAAAGGAAAGAAGGCTTTTCCTGTTACACTGAGCCTCTTACTCATGTTTTGCAATGAAGTAGAACACAGCTCCTGCCACCTCTCCCTCTGTCAGGCTTTGTGCCTGCTGCTGATGTAGAAGAAACCTCTCAATTGTGAGGCAGCTTTTCCATGAGCATTGATTTATGGCAGGAAAAAAAGGATGGATTTTAGGAAAAAAAATCCCTGTCTTCAGGGTCCTGTCATTTCCACTGTGATATTGCAGGTGTCTTTACTACACTGCATCACAGAGAGATGAAGTTCCCACAGTTCTGTGCATGAAAATGCACATTTGTGATGCGCATTTGTCCTTGCTGCCTCAGAGTGGCACATGGAAAGCAGGCAGGGAAACTAAAGCCAGACTGCTGGATGGAAGGAGGAGGAACAGCACAGTCACTCAAACCTGGAGTTCAGCGAGCCCTCTTCTTCTTCCTTCCTCTTCATGAGAGCAAATGTGATAGCTCATGAGCCAGCCTGTGATCCAGTCCCCAGAGGGTGAGAGCTGCTCCTGCTTCACCCCCTGCACTGGGCTGAGTTGGAGCATTGCTGTCCTGAAAAACCATGCTGATGCTGTCCCAGGTTTTGTTTTCCCCTTTCACCCAATGGTATTGTAGGCAACTTCTTTTCCTGTTTTTCCTAAGCTATATTAGTACTGGTATTGCTGTGGATGAAGCATTTGATTTGAAACAATCTCAAAATTCCACTCTGGAGATCTTGCTGGAAACGTGCCGCGAGGGAAGAGAGCTGCTCTGGGTGAGCCAGTGTGGAGCCGACTTCCCTCAGCTCTCAAATTCTGGTCAGATAGGATAACAAAACACATTTTTGTAAGTACTTTAGGGGCTTCAGAGAGCATTTTCCACTTGAACCAGCAAAGCAAAAAGGAAAACAAGCTCTGGAAGGTAGAGCCCTCCAAAGAAAGGATAATTTGCTAGGAATGATGAATAGCGTGAGGTACAACATTCTCCTGTTCTTTACAATGCCTGTGATGTGTAAAGCATCTGAGATCTGATACCAGCAATAAACTCTCCCACTGGGAACATGCCAGTTCAGGGCTTGGATGGGCTCAGGAGCATCTCCTGCCCTCTTTATACCTGGTCGTAGAGAATTTTTACAACTCCTTGTAAACAGAAATACCAGCAGCCTTCATTTTTGCTTACTGAAAGATTTAACCCTTCTGACTTTTGAATGTACAGTGTTAAATATTTCCTGGAGAAGGGGGTGATCCCTAAAGAAATGCCCCACTTAAAAAACCCCGCCAGAGGAGCTCGGCTTTACCGCAGCTCATCCAAACTGGAGGTCCGAACCGACTTTCTATTACCGAGACGGCATAAAAAAAAAAAGTAAAGAATGTAAAGTTTAAAACAAACAAACAAAAAAAGTATATCTGTATTTTTGGAGATGTTTGATTGTATTATAAATAAAGTATTTTTGGGAATAAATGTGTGAGGGGGGTGCTGTTGCAACCGCCGGCCGCCAGGGGGCGATGCCGCCCGGCCGCGCTGAGCGCGTTCGCGCTCAGCGCGGCCGGGCGGCAGCGCCCCCTGGCGGCTTGGAGTGAGACGCGCACACCGGAGCAGCGTCCTTGGAATCTCCGGTGTTACCGGGATAATCCCGAATTTCCCCCGCTAACCCACGCTGCGAAACCCCCGTGGCGCTGCGGTGTGCCGTGGGAGGTTCCTTGAGGCGGTGCGCTTGTCCTGAGTGCCGAGTCCCCCTCACGGCCGGAGTAGGCCGCGGCCTGTGGGCATGGCTGGCGCAGCGCTGTGGCGGCGCGGGGCCGCCTGGCTGAGGGGCTGCCGAGGGAAGGAGGGGAAAGCTCCGGGAGTGTCCCGGGGCTGTGCCGGTTGCCGGGAGGTGGTGCGGACGTGTGAGAGGTACGCGGTGAGGCGGCTGCCCTTCGCCCGGCCGGCGGAGCGCGATGTGGCCTTCTTCGAGCGCCTCATGCCCGGCAGGGTGCTCGCCGGCCAGCCCGAGGTGGAGCCGTTCAACGTGGACTGGCTGAAGTCGGTGCGAGGTAAGCGAGATGCGCGGTGAAAGCTCCGTCGTGTCTCTGCTAGCTACCGGAACTACGAGTTTGCCAAAGGAAATCTTTATTTATGGCGTCTGTGCAGCCTGAAATGAACAGGGTCTATGCCTTTATTAGTAGTCAGCTCTTTATTAAAAGTCAGCTCCGCAGAATTCCCAGGGCACGCCAGCAGCTGGAGGCGAAGAGGTGTGCAGTCCGCATCCGGAGTCCCAGTGTTATGAACGAAACAGCCTGGCTGGGACACTTGGCTTGGGCTAAGTACTGACATTGAAATGTTAATTAGCTAATTGTTCCTGGGAATCACCTACCTCCCCCCACCCTCACTACCATTCTAGGATTGGGATGCAAAATAATCCAGTGGAATCATGGGAGGGGGTTTTGGGGATGAAAAACACCCCTAAATGGAAAAGATGGGCACAGTGGAGGGGGCTGGATGGGTGTGCTGGTTGGGGAAAAGGGAACCCCATCCCTAGTCTGTGTTTGACCTCCCCGTTCCCCACCGAGGACCAGACTGGACTGGGCTGTGGGAAGCAGGAGCAAAGCAGACAGACACTTCCTGGTGTTACCAGGGGGGAAGGAGAGGGACAGCTGCTGCTGGACTTCGGCAGCAGGCTCTGCACATCCCCTCACCCTGCGGCCACCAGTGTGCCGGGAGGAAAGGAGAGAGGACGGTCTGCTGGGACTTCAGATACGGACTGCAACCTCTGCACCTCCAGCTACCAGCGTGCCACGGAGACTCCAGGGACAGACTCTGCACGCTGTCTCACCCTTCGGCTACGGGAGAAGCTACAAGAGCGGGGGCGAGCTCCTCGTTGAGCCCCCTGCCGAGCTGACTTTTTAATAAAGAGCCCTGTTCATTTCACCAGCAGACTGTCCTCCCCTCTTTCCCTCCTGGCCGCACCAGGAAGAAGTGTCCTTGTGCTCCTGCTTCCCACAGCCCAGTCCAATCTGGTCCTCTGCAGGTTATGGTGACAGGTTAAACACAGACTAGAGATGGGGTTCCCTTTTCCCTAATGAGCACACCCATCCAGCCCCCTCCACTGTGCCCATCTTTTCCATTTAGGGGTGGTTTTCATCCCCAAAACCCCCTCCCATGATTCCACTGGATTATTTTGCATCCAGGTCCTAGTGTAGGCGGGGTTGTAGGTGATTCCCAGGAGCAATTGACTACTTAACATTTCAATGCCGGTACTTAGCCCAAGCCGAAGTGTCCCAGCCAGGCTGTTTTGTTCATAACACAGCCCACAGTTCCTTCCAACAAGGGAGCCTTGAGGGTTAGCGAGTCCAGCTCCTGACTCTGCACAGACACCCCGACGGTCCCATCCTGTGCATCCCTGAGAGCCTTGTCCAAATGCTGCTGCAGCTCGGGCAGCCTCCCATTCCCTGGGGAGTGCCCGACCGCCCTCTGGAGGAAGAATCATTTCGTGATACCCACCCTAACCCTTTCCTGACACAGCTCCAGGTCACCTCGGGTCCTGTCACTGCTCACCAGAGACCACCTGAATGCCTCCCCTTCAAAATTAATTTTACTCATAAAATTACTCCTTTAAAAATCACCTGATACCTTGTAAACTTATAGGCTTTCATTTAAAAATAAATCTAAATCCTCTAACTTAATAATTAATTTTTTTTTCCTGAGACGAGTTGATTCAGCTAACAGTTTTGATTGAACCTCAGAAAAAACTATGAAAGCTTTTGGGAGAGTTGATTGCAGCCTTCCAGTACCTTAGGGGGGCTTATAAAAAGGAGGGAGAGAGATTCTTCATATGGGTCTGGAGTGACAGGACAAAAGGGAATGACTTCCCAATGCCAGAGGGCAGGGTTAAGTGGGATATTGAGAAGAAACTCTGCCCTGTAAGGGAGGTGAGGCTCTGGCACAGGTTGCCCGCAGAAGGTCTGCCCCATCCCTAGAAATATCCAAGGCTAGGTTGGACAGTGCTTGGAGCAACCTGGGATAGTGGAAGGTGTCCCTGCCCATGGAATGAGATGAACTTTTAGGTCCTTTTCAACCCAAATCATTCTATGACTCTGTGATTCTAAATCAAGCATTGTGAATTATTTGTTGGTTCTATCAAATATTTTATAAGAATTTAAACTGTGTCCCATTACCCCCAGCGGCAGCCAAGTCTACCTGTACATGCAAAGTTTTCTGCAGGACTCAAAGGGCAAGGCTGCTGTTGAAATGTTTGTTGTCCAAGTGGCTGAAATACCTAATGGTGGAGGGAGCATTGTTATTTCCCACCTTATGTTTTCCCCCCTGTTTCTTTCTGACCTCTGCAGAGCCACAGCTTGCCTTGAGAGTCCCTTGCTTTCATTGCAGGCTGCAGCCAGCTGGTGTTGAAGCCCCAGACAACGGCAGAGGTGTCTCAGGTTCTCAGGTAACACACACCATTTCTGCTGGGCTTGGTGCTGAGGAGACTTGGGTTGAGTCAGTGATGATCTGGTGCATGAAGGGAGCTTGTAGGTGTTCAGACACCCATTGCTTAAGCACTGGAGTTGCTGAGGCAGTTTTCTTAATGATTTTTCTGTTCTGATAAATGGCTGAAATTAGGTTTTGTACAGGTGCTCAGAAAAGAGAAGTTTTGTGAAAGATTCAGGAGGGTCTGTTTGAAAAGGTAAACAAGGTTAGGGCAGAACCAGGCAGTTGGAGGGTCTGTTTTATCCACACTGGTGTGAGCACAGCTCAGGTTGGGCAGTGCTGTGCCAGATCAGTGTTTGGCTGAGGAGCTGAAAGCTGCAGGAGCGTGCTCTTGGCTCTGTTAAAACAGGGGTGCAGAGCACAGGAAGGGCAGGCAAGGCTTCTGAAGGAGCTCTGGTGCTGTGGGGCTCTGTGCCATCCCTTGTGCAGGAGTGCTGTGAGCTCAGAGGGGATGTGGTGGGTAGTGCTTGGCAGGGATGTGGCAGGTGGAGCAGCTGAGGCACAGGTGCACATATGGTTGCCTACAGGGCATTAATTTCTTGGGAGGAGGAGGGCAGTCGTGTCTGAAACCACTGCCAGAGGCTGGCTGTCAGAGCCCACTGGGGAGCCCAAGCTGTTAAAACAGACTGCTGCAGGAACAGCTTCTGCAGAAACATAAGCAGGGCTTTCCAGGCAGTTGTTGTGTGCCAGGTGTGGAGATACACAGGGGGCTAACCTCAAGTGTTGGTTCTTTGCTCAGCACTGCAATATGCTCAGACAGGAGTTGCACTTTCTCACTTTGTCATTGAAACTTTCCTTCCATCTATTTAATCTTTTGGTGAAATGCTGCTTCATTTTAAGGAGCACTGTCACAACATTCGACATTCATGTAGAGGTGAAACTTCTCTGACAGACTGATTATGGCTTTTAAATGCATAAAAATTCAGAAACCTTTTTCCTTCCAGGTACTGCTATGAGAGGAACCTGGCAGTGAACCCTCAGGGGGGGAACACAGGCCTTGTTGGTGGCAGCGTTCCTGTCTTTGATGAGATCATTCTCTCCACTGCTCTCATGAACCAGATCATCAGCTTTGACAAAGTGTCCGGTAAATATTCCAGGGATGTGAAGCACAGAAACGAGCCCCAGGCTGCAAAACAGACATTTTCCTGGGAACAGATAGCAGCAGGATCAGCAGGGTTCAGCTCAGCAGCATCATAGGGAGGTTTGTTTGGATTTTGGGGGGATTAGGGGTCAGGCTGGTGTGAGTATCTCTGTTCAGAGAGGGAGAACAATGGGCAGAGACACACTTCATGTTGCTGTGTTTTACCAGTCCAGAGTTGTGGATGACGAGATATTGAGTCAATAGCAAAGCTCCCCAAGGCTTGAGGAGGGCAGTTCCCTGGAGCATGCACAGATTTGTACATTTAAGTTGAATCCCAGGAAGTTTTGAAGGAAGTGGTGGTTGCATCTGCTCATGCTGCTCCTGCTTCTTGAGGAGGCACCTTCTCCTCACCCATCAGCTTGTAGCATGGCATTTGTGTTCCAGGAATCCTTGTGTGCCAAGCAGGCTGTGTGTTGGAGAGGCTCAGTGAGTATGTGGAGGAGCAGGGGTTTATCATGCCACTGGACCTGGGAGCCAAAGGCAGCTGTCACATCGGGGGGAACGTGGCCACCAATGCCGGAGGCTTGCGGCTCTTGCGATACGGCTCTCTGCGAGGGACCGTGCTGGGCCTGGAAGTGGTAAGGCGAGTACCTGGCAGTTCCCTTCTCTGTTTAATCCTCTGCTGCTTACTGCTTCCTGCTCTGCTCACTGTCCAGCATACAGCCAAGTTCCTTTCCAGCCTTCCATTCTGATCTTTTCCTTGTTGGACTCTTTTGAGAAGGGTCAGCACATCTTCATGTGTGTAGCATGTTATTGCTGCTGCAGTTTCCAGCTTCCTGACTTCCAGTGCTTGATGGCAGAGGTGGCATTAGGTGGTTTTCTAATCCAGACAAGTGAAAAGAAGCTAGGGAGA